TCCTATATCTCATAGATTTTAAGGTGTATTATGTTTTTGAAATACCTTGCCTGGTTCTCAGTGCTTTGTTTTGGGTGTGACATCTTTGATATAATCTTACATTGTAATTTTGGTATACTCTGATATTTGCTATCGACGGTGAGTTTTTGTGTACTAGGGTGCATGCTATGTGCCCACTGCAAACCATCCGGTGCTGTTTATTTACTAGGTTTGGGCATGTAGAAAGTAGAGGCTTGTTTTTTGGTGGCAGTCCACAGCTCTGCAGGGAGGCAATACGGACATGGTCTGTGTGGCATTGTTACCCTTGAGTATTAGATAACACTTTAGTTTGAAACAAATGGAAAGTCCCTTTCAGCACATAGGTACAATAGTCTTCTACTATGAGGATGGCTCAGTATGTCTTGGCAGTAGTGAACATGCTGATACTGTAGTAGGACTTCACAGTCTGAGGTTTCTGAGGTAGCTTAAACACATTCACTTATAGTTATAAAGCCTAGCAAATAGGAGAGCCTATAAAGAAAATAACTGAAAGCAGACTCCCCCCATTCTTTGAGAGCTAGTTCAATCACTGTGTGAGCACAGCAACAGCAGCAGCAGCGGTGCCAGCTGCTCCCCTTCCTCATCAAATTAGAGTGCTGTCACACGAAATCATGTAACAGCCTCCCAAAGTGATTTAGAAACAGCATGGAAGAGCAAGTCTCAGGCATGGTCAAATGCAGCAGCCATCATGTTTTCCACCACAACCTACCCTCAGCCAAGATGCATATCCCTGATGTCAGACCTTTGATAATTAATTAATAAGTAATAGTAATAATAAGTAAAAAGTAATAATTCTTATTCTTTCTGAATTACAAAATTCAGTCATTTGCAATGGCTCACCCAATTTTTGTTAATACAGTTTTGCAAGGATCTGCTGCACATGCTGAGAATTATTGGAGAGCTATAAACAGTTAAAACCTGATCCAGATTGGTGCTACTGGCAAGAGGACTTCTCTTTACCTCGTCCATGCTTATGCTTGTTGTTGATGACAATCTGTACTATAGTTCCTGATGCTTGCTGGGGGTCAGGAAGGACTCCACGGTTACTCCTGCCACCAGAAAATCGTGGCACGTTGGCTGCCTGCCGAGCAGAACTGGGCAATGTGTCATAGTGGGAGCGATGGTATGAGTGCCTCTGCACGAAAAGAGAATGAGTACAGGAATGAAAATGTCTCATCACAGTGACCCTATTTGAGAGCTGAAATTTGTGAGAAGGGGCTGCATTAAGGCCTCTTGTACAATCAGTTTTGCCACTGAACTTAGGCAAGCATTAGTTATCAATATTCACCTCTCCCAGAAAAGTGACCTAATAATGCTGCTACAGGGATATTCATGGGTGGGTTTCCCTCAGTCTCTCCTGTTGAAACAGTTACCCTTCATAAAAAATACTTATCTGTTCTTTGAGTCAGATAGTGACTAACTCCATAACCCTGGCATGAAGGCACTACCTGGGAGGTGGGACATCCAGTCCCCACTTCACTGAATATTTAAAAATTTTATACAAAAACTCCAGCAAGAGAGATTGAGCAAAATTCACCCCACGTGCCCTTTCCCTGGGAAGTGAGAAATGCAGGTTCAAATCCTTTTAGGCAAAAAAAGGGAACTGAATCCAAATGTCCTTTGTTCTAGGTGAGTGCCCTAAGGCCTGGGCCATATGGTGAAGGATGAGGGCACAATCAGTCTCCTGGCTTTTGCTTTTATTACAAGTGCCTGGAAACAAAATGTTCCATTTTGGGGCAAGCAGAATTTTGCAGTTTTCTTGTTCTGGCAGAAAAACCAAAAACAAACCCAAAACTATTTTGTCTTATTCCAGGTTAATCTGAACCAAAATTGTTATTAGATTTTTTTTTTTTTGGTTCAGCAGATGAAATGAAGAGTAGTTATCTCCCTGAATGGGAATCCTTCCCTTAAAACTGGCTCAGGCTCCAAGTGGACACACTTCCTTAAAAAGAAAAAAGAGGAACAAGAAAAATCTCCATAACAAGATCTGTAGTGTGATCAGCCTGTTTTAACTAAGTCAAGGATAATATGGGGTGGGACCACAGGCATACGGGTGGCACAGGCCTTGATTTGCCTTTCTCTGCATAGAATCTGTATAGAAAATTAGATTTGGAAGGAGGTCATCTAATCCAACCCCCAAATCCTATATGGTCATCTCAAAGCTTTGCAAAGTGGGCATAAAATGTGGCATACGTGATTCAAGGAGATGCAAGGCCATTGAGAATTAGACCCAAGGAATGGAAATTTCCTGATACTGTTGCAAGTTGTTTTATTATTGTAGTTACTGAATACCAGTAGATACAATAATAGAACCAGTGCAATAGTATAATAGCTTACAAAATACCACTTTTATATCACTGTGTATTTACTGAAAATCAATGGTGCTATATTTCACAGTGTTTCTGTTGCCCTACACTGAGGGTTTCTAACTTTTGCTGACTCACTGGCCACAGAAACGGATATGGAATTTTTGTTTGGGAACAAGATACTCTACGAGCCAAAGAAAATAAGCAGTGTTTCTCTGTCTTCTACTGAGAGCTATTTTTTTAAACAAAGGGCACTGTATTGTTTCTGACCCCAATCACTGTAGCAGATGTTACAGTCTCTAGTCATGTGCTGACATCTCAACAGTCCAGGAACCACAAGTGGTTTTAGGAGGGAGAGTGAAGCACAAGACACAATGAAAGAGATGGGAGGCAGACAAGAGGGTGTGGTAAGACCAGGCCGTGGAAGAGGCTATCGAGAGAGGCCTATTCCATCTTCATCCATCTATTTCACTCGCTCTCTAAAGTGCCTTTGACTCCCCGGCAGTACATTTAGGCTGGTGGCAGCTGGTAAGTGAAGCATGCTGCATTGTTGCTAACACATCTCATAGGCAGAAGGATACCACACTTACAGGTCGATGGGAAGAGGGGCTATAATCCACCACAAGAGGATTTTTGTTTGTTATTTCGTCAACCTTAACACAGATTTTTCATCTCAGTCGAAAAAGCTAAGGGCTGACAGCACAGTTCAGTGGGAAAAGGCATTATTTGCTAGTGTCAGCATTTCTGCTAAATTCACTCACACCAAGGCAGCTTGGTGATGAGTTTAGGAATAACCATCCCTTTAGATCTGGGGATGTGCACAGCTCATCAGGAACATGTGACTTTTGGTGACAGGCCAGACTTACAGCTTCTCTGTTGGCTGGTTGGCGGAAGATATCCCCATCAGAATGCTCCCAAGAGAGTTCACCATCTGCTAGATGCAAAATAAAACAGGTTTCATTATGGGAGAAATTGTGCTATGAGATGTTTTTTTCTCAAAGACCTTAGAGACAGGTGACACTTTCTTAGTCTGCCGCGAAGCATTAGAATCAATGTTTAATACTAAATTATATTTAGCGCTAAAGGAACAAAGTATATTTGTGTTGCATTTTCCTCATAGGTTTTTTGGTAATTTATTTCCCAGGCGTTATTTTGAACCAGGGAAGTTCTTTACCTGTTTATAAAGCCATCCCTGTGCCACAAATAACTTATTTAGAAAGTTCAGTAGCAACAATCAAGGCATAACTCTCTGGATACAACAGTGTCTCTCTGAAGGACTCATGTGCAGTAACTTACACTAAACTGAATACCAGATAGACTCTGTAGGACTGGATCTTGCACAGGCCAGTAGCTTCTCATGTTTGCATGTTCATGACGTTACAGAGTCATAGCCGGAAGGCATTTTAGGAAGCCTTCTAGTCCAACTCCTGCTCAAGGCAGGATCATCCCTGTCTAAACCATCCCAGACAAATGTTTGTTGGACAAATGGTAAAGATTCCACAACTGCTCTAGTGCTTAATCACCTTCATAGTTAGAAAGTTGTTTCTCATATCTAGCCTAAATATCCCTTGATGTAACTGGACCCATTACTACTTGTCCTGTCCCTGAGGACAGAGCAATCCGTTGCTCATCAACCTCTTTAAAATAGGGTTTTTGTATTTGAAGGCTGCTATTAAATCCTCTTCAGTCTTCTCTTTTCCAGCCAAAATGATCCCATTTCTTCCAGCCTTTCGAATGCTTCCAACATTCCCTCTTATGACACATTTTCTAAACCACTAACAGCACTGTTGTTGAACTAGACAAGCAGCCTGCAGGATTATATGGCTCATATCACTCAGGGTGCTTAAAACCAAGAAGAAAGCACTATAAAGACAGTCTGACTTGTGTTTTAGAAGAATATGGAATCAGGGAGAGATTAACTGAAACACTCTCAATTTCTCTATGTAATCCTGGAGGAGTTAAATACTTCCGAGAAACAATGAGGGGAATTTACAAAGGAAAACTCTGCCCCTCAATGTAAAACTACGATTTAGGGAAACTAGAAATATAAAGAAAAATCTCAGCTGCCAGTTTCTTGATGTTTTCCATATACAGAGAGTTTTGTAAGTGTAAACTTCTACAAATGGATGAGCATTGAGCACTAGGCCATAGGAGAATGATGGCGGGGAGCATTTGGTGCTGTTTTTGAGGTATAAATAGAAATACCTTCTTAATTACAAGACTGGGCCTGGAATATAGACTGACATTTAATTGTTTAAATTCTTCTAAGCCTGACTGATATGGGTATGAGTTATTTATTAGAGATCTGGGCTTGGAAAGTAGTACCCCAAACATTTTGGTTCAGATCCCCATATAAATGCATATGGATTCCGTTGGTTTTAAAGTGTTTTCTTCAGAAGTTACAAATATCCAGAGTCCTTTCAGGGAGTAGAAATTGGCTAATAATCCATTTCCCTGAGTTATGCTGATATCTTCATGCAAACACATTGCTTCAGCTTGTGATTCATAGTAACAACAGTGGTAAGATAAATAAGCTTTTGCAATGTTGAAGACAAGGTTAGTCAGGAAAGAAATATGATTTTTACTATTTTAATAAATGGCTATAAACAATGGAACATTTAAAAATATTATGTAAATGTAGACCTCAGAATCTATTACAAGATCTGGATCTCTTCCAGTATGTAGCCCATCCTCCCTCCTATCTCTTCTGCTGAATTTCCCAGCTATGGTTAGCTTGTTTCTCTTAGTGATTGTCCCTCTGTTTTAGGTGGCTCTGACTTTTCCAATGTAACTATGGCATGATGCTTCTTGCTTTGAAACTCAGTCTGATTTTTGTAATTGGAATGGTTGGTTCCAAATCCAAGTCACCATATAACGTAAAATTATGTGCTACCATCCCAAGAAACTAAAAATAGCAATCAGGGAACAGATGCAAGGAAGCCGATGATTGGCTAATGTTTACTTCATTGCACAATCGGTATATTTGAATGGAAAATGGTAGTTTGCAAAACAGCATGCCAGGAGACAGGAACCATAACCTGTTCCTGTCTGAAGCCAAAAATCTTTGAAGTCAATTTCCAGAATAAAATGTTTGTTGGGAAGTAGCAAAGCCTTTCAGGAGACTATATTGGTCCCTCACTTGCTTGTTGATCTCTTTGCTCCTGTTGTTCCTGCCTCTTCGGTCTATGCTCTTTGAACACATCTACACGAGACGCATTAATGCTCATTAGCCTAAATTAATGTACATTATGGGCATATGTCTACATGCGTGCGCCTTTAATGCACATTAACTAGGCTAATTGTACTTAAATTTGTTACCTGCATATGGATTCAGTTTGATACCTGCATACTAGATAGCTATGGCTAGATGGGTTGAATACTGCTGCCTTAATCCATTTAGCACTAAATAAAGATACCATATATATTCAAATACGAGACAACCCTGATTTTAAACAACCCCCCAATAATTAGATTCTGTATATAGAAAACATAAATTTGATATAATTTTCCAGGTATAGAATTTAAATATTGGAGGGCTGTCTTAAATTTGTCTCCCACCCACTGTACAGCAGGGAAAATAAAGCTGGAGGGTAAGGTAGCCCACTTGCTCTCCACTCCCCAAACTTCTTCGCCTTGCATCTCATTCTCCATCTCCTTAGTGTCGGACCCTGCTGTCTCTGAGAGCGTGGAAGTGAGAAGCAAATTCAAAAAAACTGACTTTGAAATAAATATAGCTAGAGTAATTTGTATATAGTACCCATAGAATTAGTTTACCCAGAATTGATGTATTTTTTGAAACTCCTGCAAGTCTTAGCACAGGTACTCCAAAAGCACATTTTTAAGTAGCACTTTGACACCTACTTACATATATATGGGTGTGTGTACTTCAGATACCCCCCCACAAAGAATCCACATACTAATTAGCTCCCCCACCTCTTATGACTGCAACTGGCTGTTTTTGCCATGAGTCTTGGGATCCTCCAATAATTTATATGCAGATGAGACAAGGGGAACCTGGTCTGGCTTCACCTCATGGATGATGGGGATACACTAATCATACGCAACAGGCTGAAACCAGGGGTAACAAAGGGATTCTGAGTGTTTGGAGCCCAATTTGTTGATGTTTGCCAGAAATGTAAGGCTGGTGAAGAAACAGTAATGACTGGAAATGGGAAAGAAAGGCGCAGCTCAGCTATGGGAGTGAAGAAGAAGCTGAAATGTATGCAATGTAGTGGCTCACCATGACTTGAAAAAGAGTAGGTGCTGAGGGGGACTGTGCTTAATGAGCATTATGATATATCCTATTCAGAAAAAAAAGTAGGTTCCCATCAGTATCCCAGTTTTTTGGCTAAGATCAAGCATTTTTGGCACCAAGGGCAGGATTTCAGGGTTGGCTGTGGTCTTCCTGGTGCTAGGCTGGTATTGCAGTATCTCTAGGCCTTGTGCCAGGTCCTTCCTGGGGGCGGGGGGAGAGTGGGGAGGAACTGCCCATTTTTTGTGAAGGACCACTCAAAAAAAAAGGTTCCCATCAGTATATTTGCCCGATATGGCCATGTATTTTATAGTCATTCTCAGCATTGGCTGCATTTAATCAGTTTCATAGTTGGTTTCCATCACTGAACACATGATGCTTTCAGCAGCATTTCAAAGATAGCCAATGTTTAGTGAGGTTTACTTGTATGTGGATAGATGAGGGGCTTTTATCCACGTGCTGATTGTGGGGGAAAAACTGCAAAAGTTGAGGATTCAGATCTACAAGTTTGGCTTAGACTTTCTCTAGAAGTAAGCCAAAGGATTAATAAAGGAAACACTGATTATCTGTACAGGGGGACATTTTATGGTCTAACACACACTTGCTAGTAGAATATCAGAGATATTAGAATACAGCTTAGTGCTTAATTTGAATGAGAACAGTTAACATCATCTTAAAAATTAAAATACTTATTTCTTTTACATTAGAGCAGGTCAAGGAACTTGTACTATATATTAGACATATCCATTTTTCAAAGCTCATTTACTTAGAATACGACTAGGTATTTTAATACTTCATTTGCATATAATCCCATTACTATAACATAACTTTATCTTCACTGTATTATTCATTTTTATTTAGGGAAGCAAAACACAGTGTAGGAAAACTCCCAGGTTTTCTTTTTTTTAATTAAAAAATACATTCCCTCCCCTTCCCCAACCATTTGTGACTTTCTCTCTGCCGTCTCTATCCCTTATAAGTATTTATAAGTCATTATAAGCCATAGTTAAGTTAAAACATAGGATAAGCTTTTGTATGCCACTACTGTAACAAGCCCCTTTCATATTGTCCATATATCATTGTAAATAGTGCTCTGTTATTTTGGTATTGATTTTTACTGTTTTATATTGTATTTGTATTATGTCTGTATTGATTTTTACTGTTTTATATTGATATTGTATGATTTAGGCCCGTTCCTGTAAGTTAGTTAAAGTAATGTCAAGTCTCCTTCTTGTCTTGTCAAGTCTCCATTTTGTGTCCCCTGCCCAGGCATACCCTGTTGTTAACTATGTTGCAACTGTGACTCATACCTACCCCTCCCATGTAAATTGGTTCCTGGGTGAATGAGACTGCTTGAGACATAATGGAAGCAGGCCTAAAAAATAGCTCCTACTGAATGACCAGACCATCAGCTTAATGACCCTACCACTGCCTTGCATTGACTTTTCCTGAAACCACAGACCTACTCCCAGGACCAGAGACAAAACCCAATATTTGAAAGACAAAGACCCTCCAAGAAACCAGCAACACGGAAACAAAGAACAGAATAGAAACCAGCAACTCCACCATTGTATCCCACCAGCCAATGAGGACACCTGGAACTGCATGACTTCATATGAGCAGGACTGGCCCTTGCCTGGGCATGTCCTCCCCACTGGAGTGACAGGTAGCCCACCCCTATAAAAGGGGTGGTAGAGTGTGACCTTTTTGCGATGCCCTCTCCATCCAGACGACCACTACGCCATGCCACCTATCTACCCAGAGGCCCTGTTGGCAACCCCGTCTAGACAACACCTCGCTGGAGAAGACCCCAACTGGCCATCGAGGATCAACTCTCAGCCTGGATAGGTAGCTATCACCCACATCTTCCCTCCAAGCAAGGGACCTGAATTCTGTTTCTTCATACCTTGACTTCTATCCCTCTACCAAGCCTTTTCCCTCCTGCTACCATTGTGTGTGTGTGTGTGTGTGTGTGTACAATAACTTTGTGCGCTGTCTAATAAAACTGATATTCTTGGACCCCAAGCTGGTCTTTATCTTGCTGCAGGCTCCCCACTTAATCCCCACTCTCTTTGCCCCCACCTCTGACCCAACCTTGTGTCTAACTCCTGTTCCCCTGTCCTCTGGCCCTCTGCTCCCCATCCTGGCTCTCTGCCACCTTTGACCCCTGTCCCAGCTCTCCCTCTACGTGCCCACTTTCTGCTTCCTGGCTCTCCACCACCTCTCTGCCCCCTCCCAGCTCTAACCCCCAGCACTGCTTTGCTCTCCGTCCCGACTCCAACCCCCAACTCTCCTGGCTCTGCTCCATCACCTCACCTCTCCTGACCTCCTGGCTTCTCTGTGGGCTTCCTGCTCCCCCAGCTCACTGCTACTGCACCACCTCCACCTCCCAGCTTTCAGCTTTCTTTCCCTGGCTCTTATCTGCCTCCACCTCCCGGCTCTCTACCCTGGTTTTCCCTGCTGCCTCTCCAGCTTCTCTTCCAGCTCTTCCCACCCCCTTGATCCCCCCCCATTTTCTACCACCACTTCCGTTGCCTCTGCTCCCTCAGCTCCACGACCGGCTCTCCTGGTCCTATCTCCAAGTGCCCTCTAGTCACCAAGCACCCCAGTTACCCCCAAGTGCCCCCTAGTGTTAACACACACAACCAGCAAAGTGCATGTGTGTATATGTGCATGTGTGTGTACCTGTAGTGTCGACGTGCAGTTTGTGTGCGTGTATAATTTTTGTGTCACGCCCTCCTACCTAACAGCGCAATATTGAGATTCCAAGCATTGATCTGGCACGTGTCAAATCAACAACAATGTTATAATGCAGAACCTGCTAAAACGCGGTTTCATTTCCAAACTCTTGGGGCGATGCAAGTGGCATGCTTGCTATATGGTGTCTTTTAGAGATTGTACTTTACCTCTGCAGACTGGGCAGCAGGACTCCGGCACAGAAACTGGGAAAGAACATGTTAATTTAGGACAAGTCTTCAGGCCACAGTATACATTTCCTTCCTGCCATTAAAAAACAAGGACAGTTTAGAGGTGATTCATACAGTACTATACATTTACCTATGTGCCACTCTAGCATCTGGAAATAGGATGCTGTTTGAATAGCTTTCCTTGACTGTCTGGCCATATGGTTTAATTTTCTTTAAAAAATGTAGTAACTGTAGGTTGCATGAACTTGGAGATGAAAATAACCAGGATTTACAAGAGAGATGTAACACAATGCAAGCCTTTACTGCCCCAGTCCCACCAATGTGTTTCGACCTTAATCTCAAGGAACCATATTAAGCAATGATTGGGTAGTGCAGTGTCTTAATCAAGGGGTGCTCAACCTCTGGCTCACGGGTCAGATCAGGTCACAGCAAGCGGGGTTTCGAAATATGGCAATGGGGGAGCCCCAGACTGTGCACTGAACAGGGTATCCAATCCCAGTGAGCAGGGCCAGACAATGGCAGTGCTGGGCCCTGGGACCCAATCCCAGTACACAGGGCAAGGAGATGACAGCACTAGGCCACAGACTGGCCAATCCAGCCCATAGACTGGCCCTGCAGCAATCACCTGTCCTACAGGGCTTAAAGGTTGCACACCACTGAGCACTAGATCTGTTGGTCCAGAATGCACTCCTGGTTGTTTGATAATGGAAACTATGACAGCCACAGTATGAACAGTTGTATAATTACTCTGTTTTAAAGTCAGTGGATGGATTTACCACTCCAGAGTGCCCTTCAGATAATCTGGTATAACTGTTTCCTCTGTCTGTTCCTATCCCACAGTAAGTGAGGTTGAACTATAGTAATTTTCCTCTGAATGAAAGGAAGGGTAAATTATTGCAGTTTAGCTTCAATAGGAGTAGACATATAAAACAGCTTTACTATAGTAAGCAAGTCAGCATCTCCGTTTCCCTCCCTGCTTTCAGAGCAGTATAATTGTTGTGTATATTCATTCCCTTAATCAGTGAAGATCTGATGTGGCCAGCTTTTGTTATGAAGAACTGAGCAGGATTAAATGATTATTTCAGTTCACACTGTGACTGTAAATGATTATTGCATACCAGTAATGTTTAGGCACTGAGAAACTGGGGCTGCATTTGGACTGGTGACCTAGACATAAAATATCTAGGGCTCAGTATCAATACCCTGAGCCATTTAGTTCCCATTTGTGGGAATCTTATCAGCTGAATCCAGAATAATTCTGATCTCCTTCAGAAATTCAGTGTTGTACTTTCCATAGCCAGGTTAAAATGAAATATTATATGAATGCCAGTAGCAATATTTTACCTGCTACCAAACTGTGTGCAGGGTGGGCTCATGTAGTGGATGCCTGACAGGGCAGGCTTTGTCTACTGCGCTCTGAGCAGGAGGTAGCCTGGCATCCACCTGGTTCTGCATATTGGCATGGAGTACAGTTTTGTATGCCAGGGTTAACTCCTGATTTCCAGTCTCACTTACCATCTACTATTGTACACTAGTTAAAGCTCGGTAGGCTGTCTCCCAGCAGTGAGAATCAAGTGACGTGTCCAGCAGGGTTCAATCAAATGATGTTACTTACTGAGCAGCTGCACTGGGCACACTGGTTGGGCTGTCTGTTCTGAAAAAGCCCTTCTGCCACAAACATTTCCCCATGGTGGTAGGTTGTGCCATTGTACTCGCAGGACTTCCCAGTGATTTTACTGCTCATCGAGAAAAGCGAATCCTCTGGAACAAATGAAAAATGAATGCTTCATGCAAGAATCCTGGCCAAGTAGTTTAACTGTGAGTGCGAGCAAGTGGGAGATTAGTCCCCACTTCCCCCAGCCCCAAAATGGCAGTTGGATTAATAAAGGAAATACTGATTTTTATAGCTCAGTTAATTAAATGTAAACACATATAATCATGATACTATATTTAAGTGATACTCAGTAGCTGTTATTTTAACTGTAATTCTCTCTCCTGCCCTCTCTCCGCACAACGAAAATGTTGTCTATGTTCCTGTTATTCTCTGGAGCTCTATGGTCAAAATGTAATAAATACCAGCACTGATGGCAAAGTCTCATGCTGCTACAGTACTTTACTGAGAAAGGCATGCTGCTGCTTTGTTGTGGATGCAGTTAGGGTAGGTGGAAGTGGTACAAGCAGGCTGATTACACAGGTTATCTTACAATGGTTTTTGGTACTTTTCTGTGGAGAGATTTAGGGCCACTGTACATTGCGAACACAGCCATTAATATCAGTTTTCTAGTGTCACTTCACCTTTCCTGAGAACCATTACTATCTTTATTTGTAGTGTAGAAGTACTTCGGAGTCCTTGTCATGGGCCAGAACCCATAGTGGTGGGTGCTGTATACAAACAGAACAAAAAGATGGTTCCTGTCCCGAACAATGTAAATGGAAGAAACCATGTTACTAAGAAAAAAAACTTGTTAGCAACAGTGCCATGGGTTACCTTCTCCCTACCATCTTTATACCGTCTTATAACACTGTTCTAATGCATTGTCCATATTGGGCAACGAAACCCTGGGGAACATGAACCCTGTTAAAAGGAATCTGGCACAAGGACTAGCTATATATCACCACACTAGCTTTTCTCCATAAAATGGGTTATGCCTGTCAGTGACGACTTTTACCTGCACTAAATCCACAAAATGTCATAAAGCTGATGGTTCTGTTTATATCTAAATTAATTTCTAATATGCAAATTACTTAATTACAGTGGCAGAAAACAGCATATACAGAACTGCACACCATTTGGCAGTGATAATCCAGTTATACTCCTGCTGGCCCAAATCATCACCATTATGAGCCAAGTTTTTTCCTAAGACCTACATTCTCTTCCAGCTGCAACCCTAAGTTAGGTTAGAACATCCCCTAAGTTGTATAACCCCTAACCTTCTGTAGTTAGGGCAGTAGCCCCCAAAGGGACTGCCCTTCAATGAGTTGTGGGTAAACTCCCTGTGTGCCACTTGAGTAGTGCTCCTGGGGCTGTGATTCTGGCAATATACATTTTACATGCATGTCAGTCAAGCACACGGAAATAAGTATAGGCACTTTCAAGCAGGAGCCCTTCGGAAATAACAGTACAGTATTTGTTCTCCGTAGCCAGAATCACTTCAGATTTCTAGGAATGCAGCTGATATTTCATTTAATGGGTTTGGGGTTTCACGTGAAAGAAACCTGACCTACAAAATCATGCTTTGCTGTAGCTTTTTACTATCTGCCAGATCATTTCCCATAAAACCCTCTCCAGAATTATGTTCCCCAAGTATGTAGGGTTTTTTATCTTGGCGCCCAACCGAAAAACAATAGGTGTTGGAGTTAAACTTTGACATTTAGAGCCCTCCATAAAAGTATTTATTTTGGTTTGTTGGCACCACAGAATATTAATAATCTTTTGAACAGAGGGAGATTAGTAAATGTCAAATCTGAATGTAATATGTGCTGGTACTGAGCCTACTGCTGTGTCAGAGACAGTGCCAAGGTATGGAAGTAGGTTAAAGCAGAGGTTGGCAACCTTTAAAAAGTCATGGGCCAGAACAATCCGGCTCCGGTCTGACGCGGGCTGGGTGGCTTCAGCGGCATGTCAGTGGCCTGCATCAGGGCCAGACAGCTGTGAGCTGTGCCTGTGCTACTGATACTTTTCTCAGCCCCCTACTCTTCAGTTGGGGTGTGCGTACAGCTTCTAGGGAGCTACACCAGGGGTGGGCAGCTGCAAACTCCATCTGTGCTGCTACCACAGGCACAGCTGTGAGCTGCCTGGCTCTGGCATAGCTACAGCTTTCTGCTTACTGGAAGCTGCACTCATGCCACAGCCCTGGGGGCAAGTGGGGATGGGGAGAAGCAGCAGTGGCTCAGGCACAACTGGAAACTCCCAGGTCCTGACACAGCTCCTTGCTGTCTAGCCTTGGGGTGGGCATAGGTGCAGGCACAGGCAAAGCCCTCCAGGTCCACCAGATCCAGGCCGCGGGCTGGATGTTCTCAACCCCTGGGTTTGAACACTGGAGTGGTTAGCACTCCTAAGCCTACTCTGTGTACTTAAGAATATCTTGGGTATTTTTAGGAGGTGTATGCAGACCAGCATTATTATTTTAGCCTCTGCTATAAGATTCCTGAACCTACAGGCTAGGGACAGACATTCAAAAAGACTGAGTCTGAATTGATTCAATCTTTGCAGGTTAGTCTAACCTGGCTAGCTGAACTAGTTTCCAACCATACAGACAATCCCTCTGGACTGAGGAAATCGAGGCATGTGCCTGCAGTGGCTCAGGCTGGAAGCTGGGGAGTGCTAGAGCAGCCCTCCCTCCCCTTCTACAGAGCTAAACTGAGGGGGGCGTGGCCAGGCCCTAGCAGGGCTCCGATTAGGGAAGGGTGTGAACCACCCTGCATGCAGTCCCAGGCGTTTCAAGGGAGAGGGGTGTTGCCAGCCTACAGCCCCGGGCTAGCACTCTGAGGCAAGGGGGGGTGTGCAATGCATACATCTGTTGATGATACAGAAATTGTCACTCTCCCTCCCTGCTTCTGTATACTGTCTGCAGCAAACTGACAGGCGAGCAAGCCAAGCATGGGATGGGAGGGAGTGGGGAGCTGATAACAGTGTTCATCACCCTTATCTCAGTGTTTATTGCCCCATTAAGAAAACAACAGAGAGACATTACCAGCTATCTGTTGATTCAACGCAGACCCAGCATGTAGTCTGCTGCCTAATACATGGACACCTCAGCAAAGGCATGGGTGGGGGGGAATTTGTGCTTAGCAGAGAGTGGTGATGGGGAGCGAGGGGAGCAAACAGCTCTTCTCAAATGTTTCCAAGGAAGGACATTAAGCTACCTGTTAATTAGGTCCAAAAAGCCTGTCTGCCTTTGTCTTTCCCACAGCATGGACTGTAGCCAGCATGTGGTCTGCTAGCTAATCCGGAGGTGACTGCTAAAGCAGAGGGGCTGGGGGGGAATAATCTTAAACCAGCAAGGGGTCTGGGACAGACAGCGCATAAACTAGTTAACTCTTGATACTACATTCAACCAGGTTTATCTCAAACTGGTTTCAGCCATTTTCAAAATGGTTTGTGTGCAGTGAACTTCTGTTCTGTTACAGGTTTAAAGTAGTTTCTGATCACTTAAACCAGTTTATGTGTAATGTCTGTCCCTAGCCATAAACATTAAAGCATTAAATAAATGCATGGTTGAGGTACAGATGCTAAAACTCAGAAAACCTCCAATATTTCTTGCACTCAGCTCTACTGTCTTCAGTATCCTTTTGATAACAAAAGACCCCTTGGTAGACTCAAGACACCGCTTGGAAAATGCCAGCTCTTAGCTTTCACTCATTTTTTTACTATAGAAAAATCGCAGTTTTTCTATTTCAAAGTAGTCAAAAAGTCCACAATAGGGTAGAATGTTTTTGACACTAAAGATTTCTATTTGAAGCCTCCTGGTTTATCTTGTGACTTGTGTAGGCATTTGCAAACTTAACACTGCTAATATTACATGACACCCTTTAAAGGATCTCACGACACCCTGGTTGAGAATCACTGATTTAACAGAGGGCAATATAGTTCTGGTACCTCTTTCTCAGCAACATTCAACAATAAGAACATCCAGGAACAACATTTTTATTTTCCCTTTCTCTGGTACCTATTATAAATAGGCTCTATCTGTGAAGAGCAGATCCTGACTAATGATTGTCTGCTAGATACACTGTATAGGTGGCTGATGATCTGGGATTGTTCCACTTCCCCTTTGGGAGTTACTATTGTTTGCATGGTCTCTGAGGCTGGGCCAGTAGTTTGGCAATTTGTACAGTCTCCTGTGTCAAGAGGTAAAACTCAGTTTTCTGACATGAGAAAAAGAAGTGTAAGGGGAGAGATTCATGAGGTTCAGCCACCTTCTGTATGGGTGCCTGTACATGAGCGTGGAGGCTGCTCCAACACGCTGTACTGACAGTGTGTCAGAGTAGACTCGATTAATCAAGTCTGCGGGAGCTTGGTAGTTACTGCGCTCCAGCCAGCCTCCGTGTCTCATGTATCAGCATCCCCACACTTCAAAATGGCAGTGGGGGCACTTGAACTAAAGCTTGTTGAAGGAGCTTTAGTTCAAGTGCCAAACTGCCATTTTGAAGTGTGGGGACGCTGATACAGGAGATGCTGCAGCACTTTAATTAAAGAGGCTTTTGGAACCACTCTAATTAAAGCACTGACCCCCAATCCCACAGCACATGTAAAAATGCCTAGAGCGCAGAAACGTGGGGTTTGTCAAAAAAATACAAAAATCAGCATTAACGTTCTTGATCATTCTCAGCTTGAAAAGTTATTAGAAGGAAGGCAGGAAACAACTAAAAAGTTAGCTAATTACCAGCGTGACTCTAAGAGCATCTGATATGAGGGACTCTCTGAGACACGAGAGGTGTCACTGAGAAGGGGGGTGTCAAACCTGGTGGAAGGTGTAGAGGGGCGGAAGTCTAATGGCATACAGTATATTATACATTACAAAATTTCCCACATCTCCCACTGTGAATAGCACAAAGCTATGACAAAACTTGTCCAAGGTTTGGGCCTTTCTGTGTGGTTTTATTGAGTAACAATGTGTGTTCTGGAGTAACAGGACATATGCTACAATTAAGCACATCCTTTGGAAATTGTAAAAAAAAAATAAAAAAATCACAGCCACAAAAGGAACGAGGTACCATGTGGAAGGTTGCTCTTAGGATTCTGTCTCTTCCAAAAATGT